AATGACTAAGACCTTGGTTTACCCGTTTTCTTTCCTTGCAGCACTATTGGCACTGTATTGTAGGAACGCCCCACAAGACTTGCCGTTTCTGAGATCCTCTGACTCCATCATACAACCATCACTATTTGGCCTTTGTCAACCATCACTCAGACCTTTTACTTGCCCATTTCCCTGCTTTCAACACACGCAATAAAATATACTGTTCACTTGATTATATCCCACCCCTTGGCAGCTACCACTGTAATGATATAAACAATATTATTCACTTCATCCATCAGTGGTTTTATTGTTGTGACTGATCAGTGTATACGCTAGATTTCAAATGTTTTTCTTGCTGAAATGGTCAACACAATGAGTGTTTTGCAGGGCGTCTTTTAATTTGTTCCAACTTGTACGTATGACCTTTCTCTTATGTATTTTTTTTTTTTTTTTTTAAACCTCTCCTTTCTGCCTTCTCTCGATCACTCCTTCCACCTTCTTTTTCCCTCCCCCTTTCCTTCATCTTCCTTTATTTTCAACTTTCAACACATACAAGTTACTTAACCAATTTGAAAACACGGGACCACCTCCTGCTGACAATGAGAAAATCCAGGCTCTCCCTATAATCCAGATAACAGAGGAGCATGTTGGTAAGTGAGACTGTTTAGCACCAGTAATCCATGTTAATACAGTCTAAATCTTAGAGTAGATTATGTCACCACATATCCCTGAAAAGATTACTACTCTCTTTTATAGAATGCGATTCATAGAAGCAATTCTTATGCACCTCTTAATATCTAGGTAATACTTTTTTTTTTTTCTGCTCAACCTAATACGACTGGAAAACTGTGAATCTGGTTTGAAACAGTTTGCTGTGTTGTGTTCTTCCCTGTGTTTCAGTGTCTTCAGCTGATACAGCAAAATTGGCACTGTCCTCGCCCCATCTTTATTTTTTGCCTGGCCATACTGCTAAACTAGATTATTGTGAAAGCTGTTAGAGGTGTAAGATAAGTGAACAAATGTCATCTTGGGACTGGTGTATTTGGATGCATTTTTTTGGATGCAATAGCTCTATTCACTAAATAGCAAATGGTAAGGAATTGAAAAGTGAATTGCTACAGTAACCAAGCTGTGACTATATCGCAGTTGCTATTTTGGCCTACATGTTGCAGTACTTGAAATTCAGTTTTATTTCACTTTCAGTCACTGACCATTGACACTTTTGCAAATATCCATTTTAAATCTTCTGGTTGTTGAAAAATAAATAAGCCTTAAAAAGGGACACCCCAGACCCATAAAACTCTTCAGTCCTCTTTTTATTTTATTATTTTTTATTTTATTTTTAAATTGGGGGGGGGGATCAGATTTCAATCGTAATTGTCATCCTTCAAAATTAACCTTATTACATGGGAGAACAAATAGTCCTCTAACAAACGTAGAAAGTAATCATGTCAAAAGAGTTGTTCCTGAATATTTTAAGCAAATACATCCACCACTATGGGAGATGGGAGTAGCCAGTGTTCGCTAAATTAAAAAAAACAAAAATGGTATCACTATACCTTCATTATAATGGAGCCAAATATCTCCGAATTATACAATCAGTGGTGTAAATGTTATGCAGGAGCAGAACCTACAAGTCTATTCAAAAATTTGCTCATAGTATAAAATATGGAAATTGCCACAAGATGCAAAGAAAAGATAAAACCACTACATCTATCAAATATGAGGAATTGGGTCAATCAATGACACTCCAAGGAAGGGCTATTGGAGGTTGTTAAATAGTCCAACAGTAAGCGATATCCTAAAAATATAAATTCTATTTTAAAAAGGCTAGTAAAATACCACAAGGATACTGGTAAGTATAACTTGTTACAAAAGGCAAGGCTGACAGATATCAGTTTGTGTCTGCAGTGGCAAAAGGGGAAAAAGACTTAAAAAGGGAAGAAAGAACTCAAGTAAAAGTAACACTCATAGAATTGGATCAATATATTATGGATCCAAAATGGTACAAATTAACATTTTCATTTTATAAGTAGTAATAAAGACCCAATGAGAGAGAATAGCATAAAAATGTGGTGTAGTTGCTTACCTTTTTTAATTCTTGTAAGGGTTTTCATTTCAAAGATCTACCTGGATTCGTGCTGCAAAAGTTCAATATTTTTTTCCTTTTTGTGGATTTCATTTGATCTTTTCAAAAGCCAAAAAGACAAATGAAATGCATCACCAACCTGTACAAGATGACATTTGCTGCCTTTGCAACCCCTCCCCAGCCCAGTTTTTCTGTTGCTGTTCAATCACATTCTTCCCAATGCAGCTCAAGTAGAAGTCTTTGCAAGGCAGGTGCTCTAAGCAATTACTTGCCTCTTGAGTTTAGCTTCACTGAGCTAACCAAACCAGGAAGTAACAGAACCTGTTGTCTGCTGGATAGCCAGATGGTGTAACCAGGTTCATTTAAGAAAATTAAGATTTAAAAAAAAATAAAAATTGAAATCTGCACTTTTTGTAAAAGAAACACACTCTTCACGTACACCGCTTTTCATCAAGGTGAAGTGCTTTAGGGCTCTACTTTTTACCATGTATTGATAATTGCACAAACAAGTTATAAGGTACACCGCGAAAGTTGAGAAACAATGAAAGAGCTGATTATTGTGCAAGTTATTGGTGACCAATAACAATTATAGTAGGTTTAATCTAGGGACCATCGTAATGCTTCTCTAACCTGAAGACCCCTGTAAGCCAAATCATTTATAGAAACATAGAATGAGACAGCAGATAAGAACCATTTGGCCCATCTAGTCTACCCAATTCTCTAAATACATTCATTAGTCCCTGGCCTTATGTTAAGTCTAAGATAGCCTTATGCCTATCCCACGCATGCTTAAACTCCCTTAGTGTGTTAACCTCTACCACTTCAGCTTGAAGGCTATTCCATGCATCCATTATCCTCTCAGTAAAGTAATACTTCCTGATATTATTTTTAAACCTTTGTCCCTCTAATTTAAGACTGTCCTCTTGCTGTGGTAGTTTTTCTTCTTTTGAATATAGTCTCCTCCTTTACTGTGTTGATTCCCTTTATGTATTTAAATGTTTCTATCATATCCCCCCGTCTCGTCTTTCCTCCAAACTATACATGTTAAGATCCTTTAACCTTTCCTGGTAAGTTTTTATCCTGCAATCCATGAACCAGTTTAGTAGCCCTTCTCTGGACTTTTTCCAAAGTATCAATATCCATCTACAGATACGGTCTCCAGTACTGCGTACAATACTCCAAGAGAGTAGGTTGCTGTAGCCAGTTGTTTGGAGGTGGTGGAAAGCCAAGTGACTAAACAAGAACATCCGATAAATCTGATGATCTAGTCTAGCGGTTACTAAAGGAAGCGACTCTTGACTCATTGACTATTTAATTTCTGCATGATTAGTCTCTAGATTTCATATTTTTAACAGTCCTGCTTTTATAACTGCTTATCTTTCTAGGTTCCAGCCTGGAATGTCCTGTTTGTAAAGAGGATTATACAATTGGTGAAAATGTGCGACAACTACCATGCAATCACTTATTTCATAATGACTGCATTATTCCTTGGTTAGAACAGGTCAGTAATAATTTTTCCGCTCTAAACCACTGTAGTTAAACAAAGTCAATTTCAGCTGTCAGTTGTCATAGTGTTAAGAAATGCTAACTCGAGCGAGAGCGCACGCGCGCTTACACAGCATTAGCATTTGTGAGTAGGGAGACTACACTCTTTACCCGACTTTTTGTCTTTAACTATAGCTACCACGCACAGTTTAGACAATAATCCCCACTACAAATTTTTGTATCAAATTGCAACATATCCCAGACAAGTCTTGGCAAATACCTGGCTGGGACTCCCAGATAATATTGAGCACATATCCCAGACAAGTCTTGGCAAATACCTGGCTGGAACTCCCAGATAATATTGAGCACTCTGTACCCGACTTATTGTCTTAAAACTACAGCTACCACGCACTGTTTAGACCGTAGTCCACTCACGTATGTGAGCTACTTTATGCAAGTCTCAGACAAGTGTTGATTTTATTCGATTTGATTTTTTTTTTTTTTACACACATTAAGTTCTCTACTGTACCCTTACTGTTTCCCGCAACTAGTAGGGTATTCCACTCCAATGGATACTCTACCAATATCCTTTTTAGTGCCCCTCTTTCCCCTCCTTGGTCCCCGCTCCCCGGTGTGTCTCTTGGTAGCGTGGCCGCTCTCAGTGAGCACTTCCTTTCAGACCGGCCCGGTACAGGAAACATAAGTTCCTGTATCGTGGTGCGCACTGCTCCGCTCGGCGACGCTACACAGAGTGCCAGGCAGGAGGGTGCGCTGTGCACCCATCTCCTGCTGGTCACTCCGATCTAGCGCCCCCAGGCCGGAGCGCCCTAAGGCGGCCGCATGTGCCACCTTATGGACGCACAGGCCCACTCATACATTATCGGTTTTGCCGGTGATTATCTGCTGAAATCAATACTTACAAAAAAATCTGAATATCAGCAAAACCTTCTGGGATATTAAACAAAAATTAATTTACAAGAAAACATGACTGATCACTTTCTAGAACATAATCGTCGAGCCCTAATATTTAGGATTATTGTGCCCGCCCGCCGCTAATAACATAAGGATGTGTTCTCCCCACATATATTTTGGAATATGTAGAATAGGTGAGTTTTGATATGGATATGCGGATGACACGCAAATCTACCTGTCCTCTCCTGATCTCTCCCTGTACCTCTTGACTAGTGTCTCTGACTGCCTCTCTGCTATTTCTAACTGGATTGCTTCCCGCTTCCTTAAACTCAACTTGACTAAAATTCTGGTCTTTCCTCCCTCAAGTGTTGCTACTCCTGTGTCTGTCTCCCTCCAAGTTAACGATGCTGCCATCAGCTCCACCGCGCAGGCTTGCTCGTGTTCAGTCTATCGACAAATCCTTTTGTTTCGATCTCAAAAAACATTGCGCAGATGCGACCAAGGTGCTGGTCCATTCCACTGTCCTTTCTCGCCTTGACTACTGTAATCCGCTTCTCAGTATTCTTACGTGCTCCCAACTTGCGACGTTACAGTCCATGATGAATGCGGCGGCGAGGCTCATCTTCCTGTCCTCCCACATCTCACCCTTCTGTCAGTCCCTACGTTGGCTTCCTGTAAGATATAGAGCTCAATTTAAAATTCTGGTTCTTGCTTTCTAATCGCTACATAATGCTGCTCCCACCTATCTATCCTCCCTAATAAACAAGTATGTTGTGTCTAGGCCCTAACGCTCTGCTGAAGACTTATGTCTATCTTCTGTTCGGAATTCCACCTCTGATGCTCGCCTTCAAGACTTCTCGAGGGCTGCACCGTTCCTGTGGAACTCTCTTCCCTCCTCCGTTAGATGCTCACCCAGTCTCCAATCCTTCAAAAAAATCATTAAAAACCTACTTCTTTGTAAAAGCGGATCAATTAAACTGTTAATAACTCCTGACTGATTCCTCTCTTGCAACTGTCGTTAGTCTACTACTATCCTTACCTTTTGTGTCACTTTACCCCACTCCCTCTAGCATGTAAGCAGGGCCCTCAAGCCATCTGTTCCTGTGTGTTCAACTTGTCTGGTTACAACTACATGTCTGTTCATCCACCCATTGTAAAGCGCTGTGGAATTTGTTGGCGCTATATAAATAATAACCTAATAATCATAAAGTATATGTTCTAATACGTGTTTTCTATGTGAGAGAAAAAATGAGGCCTTATGATCTTCCTTTGTCCCTCTCCATTAGGTGTATCTTGAAATGACATTAGTAACTGTGCTCGTTGGGCTAGAATAATTTACAGTCTTGAAGGGGTTTGACCATAAATCAGTTGTAGATTTTTAGATTCGATTATGTTTTCATTGTCTGTTTTTAATGTTGGCCCTCTTATTTTTTTATTCTTATTTTTTTTTCTATTTGATTCTGTTAAATCATGTTAAAAAGAAGGGAATTGCTATTATTTCCAAAAAAGGAGTTAAAGTGTAAAATATTATGCCAATTGGATTGATTTGTGAAATACAAGATTTAATCTATTAAATTGTCGCTATTTTTGCCCCCAACAACAAACTGTACCATTAGTTCACAGAATTCTAGTGAAAGTTGCGAAAGGACTAATTGTAATTGCTGTAGATTTCAATATTGTTCTAGATGTAGCTTGGCATACACGGATATAAAATAAACAAAATATTAGAGAATTCAGCTAAGAGGCTCTCAAATTTTAAAAATGTAAGCTTTATGTTGAAGAATATACAATAAGAAAAACAAAAGGGTTTTTCTCCACTGCCCATTTTTCCTATTCTAGAATTGATTTGTCATTGGGACCTGAACCTATGTTGCAAGTAGTTTTACAATATAAAAAAAATAACGCACTGTGGTCAGATCATAATGAAAATACTATGGGTAACAAAATCAAACGTCAAATTCAAAACAGAATGGAGGCTGAATGATGGCCTTCTGGGATATTAAACAAAAATGAATTTACAAGAAAACATGACTGATCACTTTCTAGAAAATAAAGTTCAGGTCTCTACATGTTAATTTATTTTTTTTATAAACCACATACAAGTGTTATAGGAGGCAATTTGATCAAATTAGAAACAATTGCAAACCGAGAAAGAGGTTATGATTCACGATCGTTATGTATGAAATATTATGAGTAAATTGAAAAAACAAACAAAATAGCCAAAAAAAAATCTATAAAATTATAAACAACAAGACTATTCTATCTCCTGAAAAAATTGGCAAAATATTTATTGTAAATCTTTGTAAAATTTTACATCTGAAACTGATCCTCCAAAAAATAGACGAATCCAAAATTCCAAAATATTTAGAGCATCAAAATGAAGTGGCATTCTTCATCTGAACACACTAGCTTGCATGGTCAAATTCTCACACATGCCCACTTCATAGTTGACCTGGGCATTCATTTTTGGCTGAATTTCAGCCACTTTTCCAAAAGATCAATGAACGAATAGGAATTACAAAGAATGAAAGGAAGAATTGGTTGTTGGACAAAATATGGGACACCTATTAAAATAGGGATGCACCAAAATTTCTGCTGCCAATTTTTTGGCCTAAAATGGGTCTATCCCATCAAATTTCCCGAGATAAAAAAAAAAGAAAAACATTTTTTTTACTTTTTTTTGTAGTGCATAGTTTAACAGGCATGCTTACATTATTATTATTTATTATTATTATTATTTTAATTATATAGCACCATCACATTCCGTAGCGCTGTACATTGGGTGGACTAACAGACCTATAATTTTAACCAGACAATTGGACATACAGGAACATGGAGGTGGAGGGCCCTGCTCAATGAGCTTACATTCTAGAGGGAGTGGGGTGTAGGGACACAAAGGGTAAAAGTATGGGTACGAAGTAGGTTGTTAGAAAAGTATTCATTGAGGGCTTAGTAGGTAATTTTTGACAGTTGCATGAGAGGAGTCATGGGGGTGGGGATAAAAACCTGCTTACAGTTTAACTGATATGCTTTCTTAAAGTGAGTTTTCAATGATTTTTTGAATGAGTGGAGACTGGGTGAAAGTCTTACGGAAAAGAGAAGGGTGTTCCACAGAAGAGGTGCAGCCCTGGAGAAATCTTGGAGGCGAGGTGGGAGTGCGGACAGAAGATAGATTTAGGTCTTTGGCAGAGCGATGGGACATACTTGTGTATTAGGGAGGATAGGTAGGTTGGAGCAGCATTATTTAGGGACTTGTAAGCAAGCATCAGAATTTTAAATTGAGCCCTATATTTAACTGGAAACCAGTGCAGGGACTGACAGAGCGGGGAGGCGTGGGAGGTGCGAGCGGACAGGAAAATGAGCCTCGCCGCCGCATTCATTATAGATTGCAGCGGTGCAATCTTGGAACATGTAAGACCACTGAAAAGGGTATTGCAGAAGTCAAGGCGAGAGATAACAAGAGCATGGACCAGCACCGTAGCTGCATCTGGGATTAAATAGGGGCGAATGAGCGCTATGTTTTTGAGAAGCGACAGGATTTGGTGATTGATTGGATATGAGGGGTGAAGGAGAGGTTGGAGTCAAAAAGAACACCCAGGCAGTGAGCATGTGAGGTAGAGGTGATGGTAGTGCCGTTGACTTGGAGGGAGACAGACACAGGAGTAGTTACACTTGAGGGAGGAAAGACCAGAAGTTCTGTTTTGGACAGGTTGATTTTAACCCCTTAAGGACCAAACTTCTGGAATAAAAGGGAATCTTGACATGTCACACGTCATGTGTCCTTAAGGGGTTAAGGAAGTGAGCAGCCATCCAGTTGGAGATCGAAGAGAGGCAGTCAGAGAGACGAGTCAAGATGGTTGGAGAGAGATCAGGAGAGGATAGGTAGATTTACGTGTCATCCGCATAGAAATGATAACGGAAGCCAAAAGAGCTGATGAGTTTCCCAAGGGAGGCAGTATAGATAGAGAACAGTAGGGGACCAAGGACAGAACCTTGGAGGACGCCAACAGAAAGAAAGTGGTTGGGGGGAAGAGACAGTCATAGAAAGAAACACCAAAAGAGCGCTGGGAGAGGTAGGAGGAGCACCAGAAGAGAGCAGTATCCCGTGGACCAAAATTACGGAGAATGCAAAGAAGCTGTTGATGGCAGCAGAAAGATCAAGGAGAATTAGTTTAGAGTAGTGGCTGCGAGATTTAGCAGCGATTAGGTCATTGGATACTTTGGTCACAGCGTTTTCGACAGAATGACCAGCGCGGAATCCAGACTGAAGGAGGTCAAGCAGAGAGTTGGATTCGAGAAAGTCAGTCAGTCTGATGTACACAACTCTCTCGAGGATCTTGGAGACAAATGGCAATAGCGAGATAGGGCGGTAGTTGGATGGTGAGTTGGGGTCAAGGCTGGGCTTTTTCAGAATTGGGGTTACAGTTGCATGTTTAAAGGGAGAGGGAAATGTGCCAGAGGAAAGGGAGATATTTAAGGTTTTAGTGAGAGGAAGAGCAAGAGAGGGAGATGCGAGGGAATAGGATCAAGGGAACATGTGGTGGGGCGGGAGGACCGGAGCAGAGCATGAACCACTTCTGCTGTAGCAGGTGTGAATGAGTGCAGAATGGTGGAGGGAGTGGGGTGATATATTGGTAGGGGAAGGAGAGAGATTAGCGATCTCTTCTCTGATTGTAGAGATCTCAGTGAAGTGAGATGCAAAGTTTATGGCGGACAAGGTGGTAGAAGGAGGGGGAGTAAAAGGGCGAAGAAGAGCATCAAAAGTGTGAAATAGGTGTTTGTGTTGATGGGACAGTGTACTTATGAGGGTGTCAAAGTAGTATACTTTTGCAGCGGAGAAAGCCAGGCTGTAGGAGCGTAGCATAAATTTATAGTGGAGGAAGTCAGATGCAAAGTGAGACTTTCTCCAGCAGCGTTCAGCAGTTCTAGAACATTTTTGGAGGTAACGGGTGAGCTTGGTGTGCCTTGGTTGTAATTGGGGGCGCTTGCTGCATTTAATTGCGAGAGGTGCCATGATGTCGAGTTAAGAGCAGAGAGTTGAGTTGTAGAGGGAGGTTGCAGAGGTAGGGCAAGTTAGATTTGAGATGGGTAAAATGAGAGTTTGGAGTTTGGTGGAGAAATGCTGGAGATCAAGGCAGTTGAGGTTTTTGTGAGATTGGAGAGTTGAGGCTGGTGAAATTTGGGTGCGGGATATGCTGATGTCAAATGTTATCAGATGGTGGTCAGACAATGGAACAGTGGAGAGATTAGAGGTGGTACATAGATTGGTGAAGATGAGGTCAAGAGTGTTTCCTGCTGTATGAGTTGCTGAAGTAGACAACAGAGTGAGGCCAAAGGAGCAGGTTACAGAGTGCAGGCGGGAGGTATCAGGGTAATTGAGGTTGTTGATTGGGATGTTAAAGTCCCCAAGTATGAGTGAGGGAGTGCTAGAGGAGAGAAAGTGGGGTAGCCAAGAAGAAAAGTGTTCAATAAATAGCCTAGGATGACCGGAAGGGCGATAGATAATGGCAATTCTTAAAGGAGTGCGCTTAAAAAGGCGGACAGTGTGAACTTCAAAGGAAGTAAAGGAGAGGGCAGGGGCTTGAAAGGTACATTGAGGGGAGAGAAGGATGCCTACACCGCCTCCTTTACAGTCGAGTCTCGGAGTGTGGGAGAATTGTAGTCCACCGAAACATAAAGAAGCGAGAGTAGCGGTATCAGAGGGGTCAGCCAGGTCTCAGTGAGTTAGAGATGACAAGGTCGTGTATAGCTGTTGATTACTACAGATTGAGTGGGCGTTCCAGAGTGCACACTGAATGTTGGTAAATGAGGATAAACTGCAGGGTATGTGGATGAGGTTTGTGTGATTTCTGGTTGTCTTAGTCTGGGCAGATGAAGTGAAGGGCCCCAGGTTGGGTGAGACATCACCAGCTGCTAGAAGTAGGAGGAGTGATAGTGACAGGAGGTGTGAATGGGTTTAATGAGTGGGGTCTCTGAGATGGAGGTAGAGCAGGAGAGAGAGAGAATAGAGAAATAAGTGCAGGGCTTGAGATGAGAGAAGGGGGATTGAAGCAGAGAAGGATTAATGTTAATGTAATTGTTGTTGAGGGAAGTGGGTGTAAGGAGATATTTTGATGCTGAGAGAGAGATGAGAGATGAGAAGATAGAGCATTGCTCCTATGAGTAGGCATTTTGAGGAAAGCAGAATGAGCAGAAGTAAGGAGGGTTATGGCTGAGTGTTAGGGGTTAAGAGAATGAGGGTGTGTGCTGATTACTGGCAATGTTTGCAGCTGTCATGACCAATCATCTAAATTTGTGTGTGAGATTCTATCTATAAATTTAGTAAGAAACTTGGGGTGGTGAGGGGTGGGTGGGCATCTGAGCAATGTCCTGGTTTGCTGCAGGGAGCTTTTATCAATAAAATAAGGGGGGAGAGCAGAAATAACAGAGAAAGTCTATAGAGATAAGCAGATAGTTGAATAATAGTGATGTCCCGAACGGTTCGCCGAACTGTTCGCCACGGACTCCAGTCAGCTGACACATTCCAGCCAATCAGCAGCAGACCCTCCCTCCCACCTCCTGGACAGCTCACTAAGAATGCAGCTTCAAAATGGATGCTGTCCAGGAGGTGGGAGGGTCTGGGAGGGAGGGTCTGCTGCTGATTGGCTGGAATGTGTCAGCTGACTGGAGTCCGTGGCGAACAGTTCGGGACATCACTATTGAATAACATTCAAGTTAACAAATCAACAATGATGAGTAGGGCAGGGAAAATCTTTAAGATGCAGAACAAGACAAACTACAAAATACACATACACACACACACACACACACACACTACAATGACAGAGAAACAGTGTTTAAAGATACATTGTTTAAAAAAAAAATTAAAAAAAATAGTTAAATACAATAAAACAATAGTGTCCACTATTAGGGGTTTATGGTGTCCTTGCTTAAGGCACTGGTTCAGCTGGAGATGATCTGAGCAATGTCCTGGTTTGCTGCAGGGAACTTTTAAAACTCACAATTCAGATGATTATATAGCACAATGAAAGATAGTAATGATAACATGAAAAGTCAAGAATACTGCACTTGGGATGAGGGGAAGAACACTATGGAACGGGGGGACATTAAGCAGGGGGGACCACTAAAAGAGAAGGGAGTCTCTAAAAAGTCTAATAATACAATTATAGGGAAAAAAAAAAATTCCAAATCATTTGGGGGAAAGTCATTTTCGGTTTTTGGACAAGGGCATCCTGAATTTTCGGTTTCAGCCCATAATTTTCATTTTGGTGCATCCCTATATTAAAATAATTTTATGGGGTAACATAGTGACCTCTGCCTGTGGATGACTGTTGGGGACCCTAAGTTATAATGGGGGAGGAAACCTTTTGTACCCCCTCCCAGCCCTAAATGATAATGTGGAGAAACCGATGGATTCTCCACCCATTGGCGGAGTGTGGGGGCCCTAATTTATAATGGGGGCGATTTTATTGTCCACCCCAGCCCCGACCCATTGTCTGTGGTTGGGCGCTCTGAATAATAATGGTTGGTGGACTTATAGTTCTTCTCCTCCTCCCAGACCCTACTCATTTGCAGCGTGTGGGGGCCCTAAATGATAAGGGGGGAAACCAATTGGGCATAAAGTCACATTGAAATATTAAAATAAAAAATCACAGTGAAAATAATATTCAAATAGGTAAGTTTTGAGGATTGCCTGTCAGATTTAACCTCCCTTATTTTATTATCCTTTAATTTTTTTTTAATTGGTAAAGTTGGCTGAAAGACAGGGCTTGGCTGAAAGGAAGGGCTTTTCATACTTTGTCTTTCGGCTTTCTAGTAAATAGCTCCCTAATTCTTGTAGAATTTCAATATGGATACCAAACACTAGTTCTTTGGTACCCTCAAATATGGCAATCCCACAAGTATACCAATTTAGGGAGTTCTCTTCTAAACAAGCTGCAGTGGCGGCAAGGATCAAAAAAATAATCAAATTTCATCTGAAAAGAAATGGACAAAACAAAAATTTCAGCAGCAATATTAGGTTACAGGACTTTCGAAAAAGGGCAAAAGGAGGTAATGCAAGAATACGGAGAAAAGGTGAGCTTCCTAGGCAAGGAAGTGGAGGTTTCTTAGCCCACAAGATGACGTTTGGCAAATCACATGTGTGTGCCGGCCCGAACCCTCGACCAATCCAGATTGGCTGAATATCGGAAAATTCTGCGAATGGCAAGGAAATGGTACTGATGTTTAGGGAATATTTGTATGCATGTTCTCCATTGCATCAGGGTTTTATTGTTTGTACCAAGTTGAAAATAGATTAGCTGGAATCCCTTGAAGAATTCTGATAGATTAAAAATGCATAGGGTGTGGCCATATTGTTTACTCAGGAGATTTGGTGAAGGTATCATAGATCAGCTGTGGAATTTGATTTGATTTAAGTGCAATAAAATACTACCAGAACAATATGGATGTGCTCTTCCCTGGGACAAACATCTGAAAGAAATTAACATAAAATATCCTCCCCCACTATGTATAAAATAACATTCCAAGATCCCACAGTTATTTTTCTTTTTTCAACAGGAACGATCATCTGAAGCTAAGTGGAATACTGGTGAGGCACACAGGGTGATGCCTGGGGGAACTGGCCTGATAGCCTCCTGGGTGGAGAGCTGAGCGGCCATGCTCCAACCTGCAGGATTACAGAGCAGCTAGGAGCTGCTTGTTTTATGCCGAGTTTGGCTACCGGTGGAACTAGAGGGTGGTCCCTAGAGGCCGCAAATCACTGCCCGAATAGGATGCATGCGCACAGCGGTGAAATGCCCACCCGGAAGTTTCTGCGTTCCACCAAAGTTCCTATCGCACTACTGCGCAATTGGAACTTCAGAAATTTGGTGCAAAGTTTTACAAATTTTATTGTATAAAGCTGTGCATGTCCTATTGAGAGTATGGAGGCTACTCGGAACGGATCTCCCATGTCTCCAGCCCCCCCCCTCCCCACAAGAGTCAGAGGTTATAGAGGTGAGATTTATTTTATCTCAATCTTTAAAATCTCTGCTAAAGTTTTTATTTTTAAATATGTTTTGCAGGTATGTCTAGTCCTGTCTCTCCTGAAAATATGGAAAAAAACAAAGGGACTGCTCCAGTGCCCAGAAAAATCTGCGTACGAGACAAAGCATTTTGGTATGTAGTGAATGTTCTACACCTCTACCATATGGTACAAAGAAAATAATCTGCAATCAATGTGCGTCCTTAATGCTGGAAAGATCTAAGCAACAGGACATGAAATCAATATTTTATTTATTTTTTAAATATTGGTTTAAAGACAACCTAGTTCAAACTTTTGAATCCTTCAAAAGCAAATCCACCTGCTCCTGTTCAAGTGCCAACTTCTAAAAACCAAACGAAAAAGATCCTCGTCTAGATTGTCTTCTGGTGAATGTTCAGTGTCTGCACTTTCAGACACTTCTAGTGATTCTTCCCACACAAGGAATTAAAGATTTGTTATAGAAGTTAGTATTGCTTTACCTGAGGATATACCAGAGGAAGCAATAAAAATGCCCTACAAAGACACCAACATATTCTGGAATTCATGAATAGGGAATGGAAAAATACAGAGAAGAGAGCATTTATATCTGGACATTTCAACAAGTTAGAAGACAGATGGGAAGACAGTTGTCTATGTACAGGTAGCACAACTGTCTAAAAAAAAAAAAAAAATCCAATTGGGGAAGTTTCTGGCTTGAAGGACCCAATGGATAAGAGGTCTTAAACTTCTTGCAGACAGGCTTACCAAGATGCAGGTTTCCAAAGTAAAGCAGCGATGGCTAAAGCTCAGACCTACTGGATTCAGGGATTAGAAGATTCATAGTAGATCAACAAGAAAAGGATATTGTACACATGTTCAGAAACCTTAAATTGTTTGATTACCTTCTGGATATAACAGAAGTAATAAAACTCGTTGGCTCGTATCATGGGATTAACATCTGTTTCCCGTATAGCCCTATGGCTTAAAGCCTGGACGGCCGATACAGCCTCTAAAGCAGCGCTCTGTGAACTTCCTTTGGAAAGGAGTGTTATTCGGATCTCCAATGAAAGAACTGATTCGACAGATGTCTGAAACAAAGAAGGCTCTTCCTCAAGGCAGGAAGTTTTCCTGGAAGCCTAGATATAAGAATTCCCAGTATAAAAGCTGGAGAGGTTATCAAGAAAGATCAGGTTTTTTTTTTTTGGTTTTTTTTTTTTTGTAGACAAAGGAAAGATCCAAGATTTTTAACCCTTAATAGGGAACACATGGAATGGACAGGTGCATTGTAACAATGCTGAGTGATACAAAAAATGGATACAAATGCAGAAAGACAAGTCCTGCGCTCACTTCCATCACTCCTGGGCGGCAGCAACGACCACAGTACACATAAAGGTAAATAATATATAAGGGTGTATATAAAAATACCCCTTTCTGTCTCATTAGAGATGTTTTTCTTTGTTTTTTACTATATATTGGGGCTGATGTGTACTGTAGTCTTTGCAGCCGCCCAGTAGTGATGGGAGTGAGCACAGGACTTGTCTTTCTGCATTTGTATCCATTTTTTGTATCACTCAGCATTGTTACAATGCAGCTGCCCATTCCATGTGTTCCCTATTAAGGGTTAATAATATATAGGGGTGTGTATAAAAAATACCTCTTTCCGTCTCATTAGAGATTTTTGCCAGAAGCTCAAGGAAGCAGGGTGAATGGTTAGAGTTAGGAACCACCTAGGCGGGGGGTCTGTCTTGACATTGGCAAATGGGCTTATCTTCTCATGGCCATTGGAGGAAACTAAAAAAAACCTTGATTTGTTTAAAAATACTTAGGGATTAAGAAGAGAGTGCATGTAACTTGTTTTTCTTTAGTTTTTACTAAATATTGGGGTTGATGTGTACTGTAGCCTTTGCTGCTGCCCAGTAGTGATGGTAGTGAGCGCAGGACTTATCTTTCTGTAGATGTTGGAAGAGCCATTAGGATTTATATTGATCGTTCATCTGGCTTCAAAAGATCAGACCATCTTGTTAATGTTTTGGGAAAATTTAAAGGTCTTACAGCTTCCAAGACTAGTCTGGTTAGATGGCAGGTGGATACCATAAAATTGGCTTACACTGGGCCGGGGCTTGACTGGCATGGCGAGCGGTCGCTTGCAGCATGAGCTCCTGGAGATATCTTCAATTATACTCTCATAAGCGGACTCTTGTAATGCAAATCTGACATCAGAAGACCCTGCTGTGACCCTACCACCCCAGGGCTACTAAACTGGCTATTGGCTCCTCGTCAACCGGTCAGCATCTCACTGGACCAAGCTTGAGGCCTAGTTGCAGCCTACCACGCAACACGGGAGAGAGGGAGGCGGCCGATCCCTCTACCCACAAACTACCGAGAACGCCCTGGTGAGATCCCGCGATTCCCCCCTCTGCCGGTTAGGGACATCCCGGCACCTCACGCTGTATCCCTACCCCCGGGGCTGACCTGCACACACAGTATACCCGCCAAGGCTCAGACTTGGCACCCCATATGGAGACTGGACGTGATCCTAAGAATCAAAACCTGAACCTAATTGAGGCTTTCGACCACATCTGCGCAGCATTTTGGGAACGGATCAGACTCCGCGCAGAATCAGCGGCAGCCCTCTCCTCACAGAAGGCAGAAACAGCCACTCCAAAGCACGGCACGCTGGAGGGGACAGATGAACCCCCTAAACAGCAGCGACATTCATTTGAACATCCGGAAATGAAAAGTGGGGGGAGACAGGGCCCTCAGCGCAAACAACGCATCCGCACCCTACAGAGGAGTCGGAAGAGGCGCCCGCGAAACTTGACTCAGAAGGGCTGCTCCACACACGGGCATGGCACCCCAACCTCCCAGGGACCGGCACCCAGACTCAACCGCCTCTCCATAACAGCTTACGGAGCCGCTCCTCACCTACCCAGCTGGAACACAAAGAAAAGTTTTTTCCAGGCTAAACGCAATACCTGCCATCTCCCTGTACCCACAGGCTCGCCAACTTCCACACTGGAGCGAAAACCTGAGCGACATGCGGCAGGACTGGCTTGCGACCCCTGAAGGCATAGGCTGATGGGGGAAGCACTGCAGGACTCTGGGGGACTCATGGCACTGGACTGGCTACCTCTCGCAAGGCCATACTTGCAGAGAGTAACTCAGACATACACCTGCATGAGCTTCAAACTACAGTATGACCACTGTATACCCCTTGTTATTGCTTTTCATCTCCTTTCTGTTTGAATCCACTGACCATACTGCATGTTCACACCCTAACCCTTAGAGAACCCAATAGTGCATACATGAGGGGTCTCCCGGGGGAGTATAGCAGTTAGTCGCTAGACGTATCGAACCTTGTCTGTTCAAGCTTGTTCATATAAAACCCTTAAATCTATTGTCAGCAAGTTAAATATGACTCAGTCTCCCAAAATCTTATATCAGAGCTGACATAAACGCTAACCTTGTGATTAATCTGTTATTACATAAAAAATGTGCAATGTTATTATATGCCACACAATTGTTCTTCTATGATGTCTAATCAGCTTGCACTCGCTGTTGTGGCGTTGCTTGCCTCCTTGGTTATCCCATGCACGATAAAATAAAGAATTTAAAAAAAAAAAAATTGGCTTACACTTCCTCTAAATTGCCGTTGCCTACATCTTTAAAAGCACATTCAAGAAGAGCTATGGCTACCTCTTGGGCAGAAAAGGCTCAAGCATCCCAGAGGATATATGCAGAGCGGCTACGTGGTCTTTATTCAACACCTTTTGTGAAGCATTACAGGCTAGACATATTCTCTGCCTCTGAAGCAGCTTTCGGGCGTAAGGTGTTACAAGCAGTGGTTGTCTAATTCCCGCTCTAAGTTTTTTCTGGTATCGCATCCCTAGTGTACTGCCACCGTATATTAGGAAAAACTGTAATTCTACTTACCGTAAATTAATTTTTCCATAATATGGTGGCAGTAAAGGTTCCCTCTCTTTTTGATTAATTTTTGCAGTGTTAGGTCTCTAGTGTTTTATTGTTACAAACTGTGGGATCTTGGAAGGTTAGTACTTTATACCTAGTGGGGGGAGGATCTTTTATGTTTCTTTCTTGTCCCAGGGAAGAGTGCATCCTTAGTGTACTGCCACCATATTAAGGAAAAAGGAATTTACGGTGAGTAAATATATATTTTTTTAATATTGAATAGAGAACGTTCTGCACTTTTTTTTTTTTTTGTGACCTAAATATTCATGCTGATTTGGAAATCTAGTAAGATTTGAAATGTACCTATATGCATTTGTGATTTGTGGTTTGTGATTGTTCTATAGTATTCCTTTTGGGCTTTATTATTTTCTATTTTTAAAGTACAAAAAATTTCTTAGAGTTGTACAATTGGTTGACTAACATATGTATTTGCAACAAGACGAGCTGGAAGGTGTTGAGTGCCCTAGCTAGAGGCATGAGGTGAGGGTAGGATGTATTTCATGTACGGGAAAAGTGAAGTACTTGTTTTTTGGATGACACGGTTGCAAGAGAGAAAGCAGGGTGGGTAACCAAGGTGCGGGGAGGGAAAGCCATTAATGGTTTAATTGATATCCTTTCCTAAAGAAGTGAGTTTATAATGATCTTTTGAAGGAACTGAGAATGGGTGAGTGTCTAACGCAGCAGGGAAGGGAAATGCAGCCCTAGAAAAGTTTTGACGGTCGGCGTCAGAAGTGAGAGTACAAACAGCTAATAGACAGATCTTCGGCAGAGCTTAGGACCCTGGAATGGACATAATGGTGTATCAATGAGGATAGGTAGGTAAGAGAAGCGTTATGTAAATATTTGTAAGCAAGTACCAGAGTTTTAAATTGAGCCTTGTATATGTTACGTGAAGCCAGTGTAAAGACTGACAAAGGGTTGAGGCATGGGAGCTGAGGGCAGACAGTAAGATGAGCCTTGCAGCCGCATTCATTATAAATTTGTATTGGAGCAAACCCGTAAGACCACTGAGAAGCGAATTGCAGTAGCCAAGGCACCCTGGCCACATCAAGTGTTAGGTCCAAGCACAAGCTCGGTTTTTGAGATAGAAACTACATGATTTGCCAAGTGACTGAATCTGAGGGACGAAGGAGAGGTCTGACTCAAAGAGAACTCCAAGGCAGCGAGCCTGCGAGGTAGAGCTGATGGTAATGCCATTGACGTGGTGGGAGACCAACATGACCCTTGAGGGCAGAAAGACGAGAAGCTCTGTTTTGGACAGGTTAAGTAAGAGTATAAACAGCCATCCAGTTCGAAATTGCAGTCAGAGACACGAGTCAGAAAGGATGGTAAGAAATCGGGAGAGGACATATGTCTCATCTGCATAGAAACTATATTGGCAGCCAAAAGAGCTGAAGAGTTTACCAAGGGAGGTAGTGTAGATCGAGAACAGTAGGGGACCGAGGACAGAACCTTGGGAAACGCTGACGGAGAGGGGTTGCGGAGGAGAGAAATAACTAGTAAAAATACTGGCAGAGCACTGGGAGAGGTAGAACCAGGAAAGAGCAGAGTCTCATAGACAAAGATTACGGACGATGAGAAGTTGTTAATGAACAGTGTAGAAAGCAGCAGAAAGTTCAAGTAGAATTAGGAGAGTAGTAACTGCTAGATTTAGCAGCAATTAAGTAGTTACATAGCAAAAGAGACTTGTGTCCATCAAGTTCAGCCTTCCTCACATATGTTGTTGCTGTTGATCCAAAAGAAGGCAAAAAACCTAGTCTGAAGCGCTTCCAATTTTGCCACAAACTAGGAAAAAATTCCTTCTTGACCCCAAAATAGCAGTCAGATGTCTCCTTGGATCAAGCAGCTATTACCCCACTAATTAGAAATTATATCCCTGTATGTTATGTTTTTGTAAGTATTTATCCAATTGCAGTTTAAACCTCTGTAGTGACTCTGACAAAACCACCTCTTCAGGCAGAGAATTCCATATCCTTATTGCTCTTACTGTAAAAAAAACTTTTCTTTGCCTTAGATGAAATCTCCTTTCTTCCAGCCTAAATGTGTGACCTTGTGTCCTATGTATAGCCCTGTTTATGAATAGATTTCCAGATAAAGGTTTGTACTGGCCCCGAACATATTTGTATAAAGTTATCATATCTCCTCTCAGGCGCCCTTTTTCCAAATTAAACAGATTTAATTTTTTTAACCTTTCTTCATAACTAAAATGCTCCATTCCTTTTATCAATTTCCTTTTATCAAAGTCTCTGGACTTTCTAGTGCCATGATAACTTTCTTTAGAACAGACGCCCAAAATTGCACAGCATATTCAAGGTGTGGTCTTACCAGCAATTTATAAAGAGGCAAAATTATATTTTCATCCCGAGAATTTATGCTCTTATTTATACATGACAAAACCTTACTGGCCTTAGCAACTGCAGATTGACATTGTATATTGCTGCCTAATTTGTTATCTATAACAATTCCCAAATCCTTCTCGTGTGTGGTTATCCCTAATTCACTACCATTTAGTGTGTAAGTTGCTTGTGCATAACTTTGCATTTCTCTACGTTAAATTTCATCTGACATTTTAGTGCCCAGTCCCCCAATCTATCCAAATCCCTCTGCAGCAAAGCAATATCCTGCTCACATTTTATTACTTTACAAAGTTTTGTGTCATCTGCATACACTGATACATGGCTTCCAATGCCTATTTCAAGATCATTTATAAATTTGTTAAATAGAAGTGGTCCCAAAACATTACCCTGAGGGACACCACTTACCACTTTTGTCCAGCCTGAAAATTTACCATTAATTACAAATCGTTGTACTCTATCCTTAAGCTAATGTTCTACCCAAGAACAAGAATAATCATCTAGACCAATTTCTTTTAGTTTGAAGACTAACCTATTGTGAGGACCCGTATCAAATGCCTTGGCAAGATCCAAGTAGATCACATCCACTGCAACACCCTGATCTATACTTCTACTTACTTCTTCGTAAAATGCAATTAGGTTAGTTTGACATGACCTGTGTTTCATAAAACTATGCTGATTATTGCTAATAAAGTTTAGTTGGATACTTTGTCGAAAAGGACCTGATCAGTGATTAGTGCAGAATCTGGACTGAAGCAGGTTGAGCAGAGCGCTGCGTTCAAAGAAGTCTGTCAATTCAGTGTACACAACTCTCTCGAGGATCTTGGAGGCAAACCGTAGTAGCGAAATAGGGCAGTAATAGGATGGCAAGTAAGGGTCAATGTTTGGCTTTTTTAGAAACTGCATGGTGCTTGAGGGGTTACAAAGGACAATGTAAAGAACTGTGAACAAAGATCTAATTATAAATTTGTCAAACTTTTATTTACAAACCTGACTTTTCCTTTTTGAGACATGGACTTATTTTTTGTTCCCACCCCCAAATTTAATTGTTTCGAAGGGGTTAAAAATTTCTATATTTTTGGCAGAAAACTTGCACTGCATGCCAATTTTAAAGAAATCTGAGGGAGAGACTTGCAGTATTGCATCTAGAAACTAACGATTATCAACACCTTAAAAACCTTGTCTCCTTGTTGGATGAACAAGATAAATCTCACCGTAACACCACATTGAGACCAAAGAGTACCTTCACTTGTCCACTTAGTGTTTGTCAAATTGGTGTGTAAAAAAATTGAAAATCTCATGAAAAAACAAACTTTCGAACATCATACTCGTTCAAGGTGAGAACGAAGGGCAGTACATGAACTAGTATTGGGAAAAAAACATCTGATAAGGGAGGCAACATAGTCCTGATTGATCATATTCCATACATTAATATGTATATGGAACACCTGAAGAATACAGAAAGATATCAACTTTTAAATAGTGAGGCTTGTTGAGGAACTGAGGGAACTCCATTTAGAAGCCCTAGAAAATGGGACAATCACTAAAATAAATATCAATTCGTGTTTAAACGAAAACCAACAATGGCCACTATGTACTGTCTCCCCAAAATCGGCAAAAACATGAAAAAATTCCCAGGACGTCCGATCATTGACCGAAAACTGCAATATTTTTTTTAAATTTATTTTTAATATAAAATCCTACATTCTCTAGTGGTTCAAACACCCTCCTATATACAAGACACGGGCTAAGCAATAGAAAGGCCATCTCATGTAAATTGTACACCTGATTCACAGTTGGCGCGTTTGGATGTAGTGTCCCTCTACTCCAATATTCCCCCATGAGGTAGTATTGACAGCATGCAGATACCTTGTTACATTCCATATGTACACTGACTAAATGTGCACCTTTATCATTAAACTGACGACTTTTTTTTATTTTGAAACAATATTTTCACATTTAGCAGAAAAATCTATGTACAAACTCTGGGGACAGCCATGGGCACTTTTGGTGGGGCAACTTTTCATTTACCATAAGACAAACTATGATACCAATATTAAAATCTGGTATCTTTGCATAGATTTGCCTCTGGGATGGTCAGAAATCTTTTTCAAACATGGGTCACCTCCTTAATTTATTTATTTTGTATGTGCAAGTTATTATAATAAAGTGCGCAGTGCCACAACAACTGCTATGCGCAATTCAGATATTATAAAGATCAGTCTACTGTGTAGATTCTTTTTGCCGCCCGGCTTGGTATTTAAATCTGTTAAACCCCTCCTCCGGATGTCGTCAGCTCGTCCGTATGGGGGAGATACAGCTGTCGCTTGTTTCTTCGTTACGTGTTCCAAGCCTCGTTTTCGACCGCAATAGCGGTCATGTGAGCGTTCCACTGAATCTTATTTGCGTTCCACAGAAAAACTGAAAATCAGCGTCTGCGTTCCAACAGAACGACGTTCTCAATGGGGTGCTGGACTAGTCAACATAAAAGGGTCATACCGTATCCCTCGTGCCATACATAGAACAGAACATAAAAAGAGCATGTATCATGTTCTTATTTCTTTTCAATATACACTTTACATCCAGTCAGAAAAATAATAAATATAAATATAAAAAAAATATAAAAATAAAATAAAATGAAATAAAATAAAAATAATAATAATAATGAAGAAAATAAAAATAAAGAATAATAAAAATAAAGATAAAATAAAAATAAAAAATAAAAATATGAAATATAAATACAATACAGATATTGACTGATTAGATTTGTTTGGCATGTGTAACATTTTGCACACGTTTATTTATTTTTTAATAAAATGCAATAAATGAGAAAATTTTAGATTCATATGGCATGACTTTGAGCAAGAAACATGTATAACTAAAATAATGATATGAAATAAAGTGAAAAAAACCCACTGGTAGTTGGCATGTGGTATCCGGGTGTAAACTGAGAGGCAAATGGATGCTGCTTAGAGGCCGTCTACCCCCAGTGTTATGCCATCCAAGGTGGGCACATTACGGTGAAACGGTCCCAGCTGGTTTCCCCACCAGCCCCAGCCATCCCTATGAAATAATGTACCATGTTCACAGCACCAGCCGAACCCAGCGACAAGTGCAGGATTTCTGGACCCTCTTCCAGGGAGTTGCCTCACCTGCAGGTTGTGGGCAGTGCCCACATCCTCCACAACCTGCTGAACCCCATCGGGTCGTATGCTAGGTGAGTGGCGAGAGAACCGGGAGCCGGTCATCCAGCGGTAGGGCTTCCTTCTCGCTCTCTTCCATAGCTTCCATCTCTGCATCGGATAAAGATTGCTCCTCCAGACAGGCTGCAAATGGTTAGGCATGCTTGTGGTGTCTGGGTCGGAGCTGATCTCAGCCCTCATTGGCCCAATATGTTACCCAAAGGTGATCTAGGGAATGTGAGAGGCTTGTAGCAGAGAATATCTGCGTTTTCACAGGCTGTGGAAGGCTCAAGTCTGAGCAGTGGCCATCTTTGATGTTAGGCCTCGGGTTCTCAGCTTCTCTGGAGCGGTGCAATATTTTGCAGAGCACTGTATAGTTTACCAGTGGGCACCGGATATCCCTCACCAGTCGGGGGGTTGGGGGGGGAGGAACGGCACAGAAACGAACAGGAACAATTCAGGTTGGAGGATCAGCCGCTTCACCCTTCCCAACTGCTCCTGCAGGCCGCCGAAGCAGTCAACCTGTGTGTCACTGAGGCAATCACTATGTGTGTCAAGAAATATATCAATCGATCGGCAATGTGTTCCCCAAAGTATATATCTGGGTGTCAGGCATGGTTTTCTCGTGGTGCCGGTTAAAAGTCTGCATAATCAAGTTGTCTCCGGGAGAAACTGTTATGTGCGTCTGCTCCGGAACTTGTAGAGTTACCATCCAGAGCCAAAAAAATAATTCCCTACGGGCAATTTTTAAGACCCCGTAGGAATTGCGCAACGGATGGGGTCTTCATTCGAGAGGCGAATATCCTCAAAACCTTACAGAAAGGCCATCCAAAACACCTACTAAAGCGTCTTTTAATCAGACCAAAAATGGTGAGGAACTCCCCTCAGAATCATCTCAAACAGGGGATGATCATATTGTGAGATGTATCTCTAGGTTCTGTCCAGGTTGGTAACCAATAAGGGATATAATTGCAGAATGTTGGCCCGTTTTATAATAACCTCACCAACAAGGGCATCACAGAATTCCCATTGATGACAGCCAGGAGAGCTTCTAATGTCAGTGGCATATTAGTGCACAATCACCTCTCTTCACCACAAAAACCGTGATTGTGGCTTACACCCACACAGGGAGTCTTAAGATCTGGCTTAAACTTTCAAGCTGCAATCTTCTATCAATTGTTCCTAGTTCAATGTAGTATATTTGGCCAACTGAAAATTTGGAACAGTATATTGGCAAAACTACACAACTGCGCAGCAGAATTCTATAACATATCAATGCTCATAGTGACAAACCTATTGCACGCCACATTCACAGCTTCCATGGTGGCAGTGCAGCTATTGAAAGGGTTAAAACTTCTGCAAGAGGCCTTGACACCAATCCTAAACGTTTATAGCAAGAATCCAGATGGATATACACTTTTAAAACTCTATCTCCATCAGGTTTAAATGAAGAGTTTACTTTGTTTGACATCACGCGCAGATTGGGATTACATTGTCTTTTTGACTTATTATATAATTCATTCACTACATTCACTTTTATTATATTATTTGGGGATAATTATTTATGATTTATATTCATATGTACTCCAATACAAGGTGTAATAAGGAGTTTTCTTACCTTTTAATACTATAGGGTCAGGAGTCGCCTATAACAGGGGTTCCTAATTAACTTTTCCCGTGGAACCCAAAAATATTTTTGGCGCCGCAATGCAGATCGTAAACACATAGTAGTACTTAGATGTGTGCTTTGTGTGTATAGTTGGTGTTTGTATATAATGTTAGTGTTTTCATACAGGGGTGTGTTTGTGAATAATGATAGCGTTTTGATACAGGGGTGTGCTTGTATATAGTGTTGGCTTTTATATGCGGATGTACATTTGTGTGTAGTATTAGTGTTTGAGTGAAGGATGTGTTTTTATATAAACTAGAAATTTGAATCCAGTTTTTTTTTTTTTATATAATGTTCGTGTATGCAGGAGTGTGTTGGTTTGGATTGCTGGGATGTATACACATATACTGCCATGTACGTACGTAGAGACACACACATAAGAACGTTGACACAGACACAAAGATACACACCTAGACACATGCACAGATCTTGACACACAGAGACACACACTCAGATACACACAGTGACACACACTCAGATACACACTGACACACACTGATACAGACATACTGATATATAGATATATATATATGTGTGTGTATATGTATATGTGTATATATATATATGTCCTGATGAAAGTCCACGACGATGGACTGAAACGTTGACCTCTTGACCAACTGGATTAAAAGGTTTTTTGCATTTTTTCTAGCAAATTGAAAGTCCTTGAGTGCTGACTCTTTTTTGATAGATATATATATATATATATATATATATATATATATATACACACACTCCGAGACACGCACCTTGACCCACAGATATACACAATGGCACATCCAAACATATACACACACTCCAGTACAGATACTGGCACATCCAAACAGATACACTCAGATGCACACCTTGACACACAGATACACACTGTCATATATACACATACACACACACAATCTGAAATACATGAGAGCCACCCTCCAGTTAACTTACTTGTGGTCCTGGTGATGTTGACTGAGGCTGATCAGAGTGAGCTGCTGCATGCTCACTCCTGCCTCTCCTCTGCCATGCATGCTGCTATGCATGCTCTCTGGGCTGCCGTGTCCGGCCTCAAACTCCCTCCCTAGTGCGGCAGCAACTCTGTGAAGCTGGGAGGAAGTGACAGCACTTCTTCCCAGCTGGCCGACCAGGCCCCTGTTAAGCGATACAATCGCGGCAGCTATTTTGTATGTCGAAATTACATTTGTAACTTCTGCAGAACACCAATTGGGAAACGCTGCCCTATAGTGTTCCTTTAACTATTTGCCTGTCTGCAGTTCTAGCAGATATTGCAGATATTGTTTTTATTCAATATAAATTTCGGCATGGGTTTCATCTATCGGGCAGTGTCCAATCCATTGCAGCTTGATTGCATCCTGTGAATCACTGCCAGTCATTTTCTTGGTGGAGCATAATATGCAGCCACAGAGATGATCTCTGTAAGAGGAAAAAGTAAGTAAAATATTGAATTTGGTCTGAATTTCAGATGGACTGAAAGCTGAAATCTGGACCAAATTCAGGCCCAAAATGAGCCTCAATTGCAAAACACAGACAATTTAAAAAAATATATTTTTATGAACTCTATAGCATTAAGAATACAAAGTTACTTCCTTACGCTATAGTTATGTAGTGGCTGTTTAGATTACTTGCCCTCACCTGCAGGGAGAGAATTTATTTTATTTTTACTCCCTTGCAGCACCAGTCTCTGTGGCTGGCCCCGTCTCCGTGGCTGAGATCATAGATATGGATGATCTCTCTAGTGCACATGTGTGGCAAAATGCCACACTGTGCCAGTCAGATGGGCTATTTGAGAAATACAGAAGAGCCTCAATGTCTGGTTCAAAGCCACTAGAGATGCTTAAAATAACCTAATGAAAAGTTATAGTTCTGCATTGAGATGAAATGATCTGGTTGTCTATAGTGTCTGCTTTAAATCGTGTGAACAATGTATGGATTTATCAGTCCAGATTGCTTTTGCCCCGTTCGATATGGAGTACTCGGACATTGGTGAATAACCATATAAGTGAAGTAAATAGTTAACATTCTACTCTTGAAGGTGTAAATAACACTTTTTCAGTCATGTTTAATGTCATGTATTAGGTTTAGCAGTAAATTACTTTATACTTCTCACTCCTTTGTTTTAATAAGCATAACATTTAAATATATGGTGATTGAGTTATCTATATCATATGGTTATTGCTAAGAAGTTGCCTTTGCAGCTAGCTTGATTGCTTGCCATGAATCTGTTAACGTAGTCATAAACAGTCATGGCAAAAATAAAGTACACCCTCTTTGAATTATATGGTTTCACATGTCCTGACATAACAAGTATCTGTTCCTTAGCTGGTCTTAAAATTAGGTAAATACAATATTAGGGGGCAGCGCAGCCGCCATTTCACTGCGCTCCATCTGAGACTATAAAAGCCTGATTTTAGAGCTCTAAACCCCTCTCCCAGCCTGCAAACTGCTCACACTCCATGGAGTAAGCACCCCAGAGGCAACCTATGCTGTTCGTGCAACCGGCAAGAGTAAAAAGGCAGAAGCGCAGGCCCGGGGCCTACAAGCACACTCAGAGCCTGAACTGGTCGGACCTGCTTGACAGCTTGGCGCCTCATGGGGAGCCGGAGGCTGAATATTATCCAGGTGCTTACACAACACCCCTGGCACAGATCGTCAGACTGTCCCAGAAGCCCCTCATGGTTCCACAATCAGGATCCAGAGACAGAAGGGCATTATTGCAGCTACACCAGCCAGCCAAAATGACGGACAAGGCAGATCACAGAACTGCAATGACACCTGTGGAGCCTGTACAACCGGACCCACCACCTAAGCAGGTACCTGGCACAACTGAGGGCTCAGATTGGTCTGCACCGGTCACACAACT